ATTGAGAACAAAATTTGACACCAATCTACAATTACGGTGAAGTGACTACGTATCAAATTTTAGTCATCTACGTAATTGTGTATTTCAGTTATCGCATTCACATAGAAGCGGATATAGACATCAATAGACAATCAATTCTTCGATGGACATTTAGAGGAAGTCTCACGAGAAAAGTATATGTGAAACACCATCCAACCACAGCCATAGTTGAATCTTTTTTTCCCCAATTTCACAGAAATCTACAATTTTGCGTAAATATCATGTGCCAAATTTCAAGTTCGTTGGATTTTAGAATTGTCATCGTCACAGATAAGCAGGTGTTTTTAATGTTAAGCTTTTTGTGCTTTTGTTCTTTGGGTTTTTGTGTTTTTCGCTGAATCTTTTTGTGTTTTTAATGTTAATTTTTTGTGTTTTTGTTCTTTGGGTTTTTGCGTTTTGTGTTTCTCGCTTAATCTTTTTGCGTTTTGTGCTTTTAATGTTCAGCTTTTTGTGTTTTTGTTCTTTGGGTTTTTGCGTTTTGTATTTTCCTCTTAATCTTTTTGTATTTTGTGTTTTTAATGTTAAGATTCATGTATTTTTGTTCTTTGCGTTTTGTGTTTTTCTCTTAATCTTTTTGTCTTTTTGTTCTTTTTCCTTTCTTTGGAGTTATTGTTGTAAACGATGATTTTTAAATTGTTCTGCTCACCCCTTGAGGTTCTTTGTAAATTCTTTTTTAATGTAGTTCATTTCTTTTGATTTAAATTTCCCCTCCGACCTGTGGAAGGCTTTACACCCACTTGGGTAGGCTGGGCGGGGGCGGGTTGAAAATAAAAAAAGCAAATAAATATGATGGATTTCTTCCAAAATTTCATATAAATCCACAATTTTGGTGATACGCCAAATGCCCGAATTCATCCATGTATCTTCTTGTAGCTCCATGTAGCTTCTGAGTTATAAAATTCACAAGCGTACGGATGGGAAGACACATTTATTTATTTATTACTGAACATGACATACTCCTCGTGCGCCACAAATGTACAACACGATGCTTACAAAAGTAATTACACAATGCAATACAGTCTTTGAAAGACAATTATTTTCACAAAAAATTAAAATAAAAGTAAAGAAGAAAATTAAAAGAAGTATTGAAAACAAAAAATAATGAAAAATAATGAAATAAAGTAGATAAGTCAAAGTAAATAATAATAATAACAAAAAAAATCGTAATGAACTCCGTCAAGAAATGAAAGTCAAAATTTCAATAATTAAGCAATCAAAATTATACAGAAGTAAAAGGTACAAAATACCTTCAGGGGGAAAAAGAATGAAAAAATATATCCAAAAAATAATGAAAGGGGGAGGATACATAAAAAAACTTCATCAGAGAAGAAGACAGCAAGCATCATTATAGTAATATTGAGCAAAACGGTTTTTAGAAAGGTGCACAAATTTTTCCAATCAATAGGAAAAACATTATTTATATTTACAAGTTGTGAACAAATTCTGTAAGAGATAAGAAAGAGGACTTTGTGTTAATCAATGAAATCGGGGACACAGGCCAGTCCTTTTAGTAACCTTAAATTTAATAACATATTTTTATTAATATACTATAAAGGAGATTCTTTTTTTAAAATTTAAAATCTGTTTTTGTTCATTAAATTTCTATTCATTGTTATGAATATTATGGAATCTTAATTTAATTTGTTAGAAATTCACAACCAGATGGCAGCACCAGTAAGGAAACGAAATTTAAGTAAATGAAATGGTTAATTAATAATTTAGCTCGGAAAAGATTAAAATAGCGTATCGTATTGGACAAAACACAAGTGTACAAAATCTGAAGAATCTAGTACGTCAGAAAGTGAGTAAGAAAACGATTAGAATATTCCATCTAACATGAA